ATAAAGTACATCTAAAAAATTTAAAATATGTAATTACAAAATTTTAATATTAAATTAAACCCTCTAAATTAAATATAAATTAGAAAAAAAATAAAAAATTTATCAAAATTATTTTATAACTTTTATAATTTTATATTTTAATAAATTAATATAAAATAATTGTTAAATTTATACCAGATCTCATCTTTTAAATGAACATGCGGTGCTCATTCAAGAAATGAGTAGGACAACGGTTCCTTTGGATCTTCAGGCACATGCTTAAATATAATGTGCTCATCCAAAAACTGAGTGGGAAAACTGTTCCCGTAGGCCTTCAGGCACATGCTTAAATATAATCTGTCTATCTCATCCCTATCTTCCACGGATTCCTTTGCTTTCTCTCAAAAAACAAGACTAGCTAGCTATAGCTCCTATGTATAGTTTTCATAGACTCAAAATCGTCTTTGATTGCTAGATGAGGAAACAAAGCAGTACTGTCTGGATTCCATTTTAGGACATGGCTGGATCCAACCCATTTGCACAATTTGAAATGGGATATACATATCCCGATACATGGATCAACAGTCTTCATACGACGTAGCATGAAACAACAGAAGGATGTTGAAAGCGAGTGGGCTAGCTGAAAGATCTTTCCATGCATTATTGTTTACGCTGCTGATATGATTCCCCCTTGCCTCGTGAGATTGCGAAATCAGTGTGGCTATCGCTAGGCTCGTCGCATAGCTTCACATGCAGTGCCGAGTGTGTGTGTATAGGCACGCAGGATAGATACCCAACTCATACCTGACACTCACACCATTTGCTGTCCTCATGTCCTATTGGCCGACCTTTAAAAGACAACAGAAAAAGAAGAGACTTAATAAAATAACACGTCACCGTGAGCCACGTGATGGTGACAACAATCTGTCTGAGTACGAGCTTCCAGTACCCCTACGGAGCGTAGAGTATGAATATCACGTCCTTATCTACAAAGTGACTGATGCTGATCCTGAGGAATTTAGTATATACATCTCGGAGTGGCACCACAATGCTGTGGGAACTGCAACCGTCCTACTTTTGTATATATATTCTGAGATTCAAGCGACGGGATAAGATTGAAGAAAGCTAGTTAAACTGTTTGTGACTCAAAGGAGGTGTCATGAGTAGTTCTCCTGACGAGACTATTATCAGTTTTGTGGGGTTGAATGAGTTCGCCAAAGAAAAAGTAGCGAGAGCCAACTTGAAAGGTAAGGTCCGTCTGCTGCTGGGGATAGAATTATTATTGATGGGGTCATACTTCGCCGTCATCATTCATTTTACATTAATAATTAACACCCCAGATATTTTCTCCGGCTCTATATGCTTGATCTTCAATTCTTGATCCCCTGCATATGACGCACGTACGTCACAGGTGGATGCCTAACGTAGTTATACACCTGAAATCATCAAAAGAGTTCCCTTATTCATTATGCAAACTTGCCCCCAATTTTCTCAAGAGTTATTCCCCATGCATCCGAAACATCACCCAAATAATATCTGCAAGAGCTGCCCGTATATTTTGGAGTTGGACTTGGATCCTTTCCAACTCTTTCTCCATACATTTCTCTATACTCAATCTCAACTATTCATTTAATTATTATTTTAGTTTGATGATTTGAGATTATTAATTATAGCATTAAAATAAAGAAGATATTCGTTGCCATCACTTAAATATTTTTAAAAACAAGATCGTAATGTTTATTGCTGATAAGTATTAAATGAATTTTATATTCATTTTAATGCTATAAGTAGGAATATCAAACTATTAAATTAAAATAATAATTAAATGAACAGTTAAAATTGGGTATGGAGAGATTTATCGAGGGGGCGCCATAGTGAGAATCTAAATCCATATGAAATTATTTTTTTTAAATTGGCTGTTAAAAAAATAAAAAATATTTATATTTATATGACATATGAAATTTATAAGGGTCGCATACAATTTATATGTTATAAATAATTGTTTTTATTTATAAATAAAAAATATCACTTTCTTTTAAATTTTGTGTAAGCGTGGACCTCTACTATAAAAATTAAGTTTCAATGTCTGCCGACATTTTTTCTTGTTAAATGGATTTTTACCAAGAAAAACAAAATTTAACACGTCTAAATTTCAAATTTTTGTTGGCCAAAACAAAAAATAATTTTCAAATTTTTTACCATTATATTTAACTACAGGTTAAATTTTTCCACCAGAAAAACTAAGTTATAATTTATTGTTTTGCCCTAAGAATAACTTCAGGTAGGTATACAACTAGTTATTAAAAGTGTTTTGTTTGCTAAAGAAGCACAGCACAAAGCAAAAATAGTTATTTTTGAGTGATTTATTATTAATTGCATTCCTTTTAATATATTAAATTGTCCAATCTTCTAAAAAACTATAAATGCAAATACTGCTACAAGACATGGATTCAAAGGCCCTACTGCTTATGACATGAGAGTAAATTTATTGAGAGAGTTGAAAAGAGAATGTCAGTGTTGATATTCATCAAAGTATATGGGAAAGTAATGGTTGCACTTTCATGGTTGATGGTTAGACTGATGTTAGATAGTGTACACTGATAAACTTTTAAATTCATTCTATAAAAGGATTTGTAGAGCCTGTTGATACTTCAGATTTGGTCAAAGATGCTAAGACATTGTTTTAGTTGTTTGGTGAAATGATGGAGTGGATTGGATTAAAAAATATTGTCCATGTAGTCACTGATAATGCAACCAATTATGTAACATACGATAGGCTAATTCATGAGAAATATAGACATATTTATTGGTCACCCTGTCTTGCACATTACATGAATCTCATCATGATGAACATTGCAAGTTTGCCTAATGTATCAAACCTTGCATCTAAGTCATCAAAGGTTATCATTTTTGTGTACAATCATACTATCTTCTTATCATAGCTTAGAAAAAGACTGGGTTAGAGGGGGATTGTGTGTCCAGGAGCAACTATATTTGCTACCACTTTCATTAATTTACAAAGTATACATAAAGACAAGAATGACTTACAAGCTTTGGTAGTTGATAAGCATCTTGTTGATCACAAGTTATCAAAGATTGTAGCAGGACAGAATTTTGTTAACGTTGTCTTGGATAATAGATTCTGAAATTAGTGTTACAACATTATAGTGCTTGCTGGTCCTCTCATTTGGTTGCTAAGAATTGTTGATGGAGATGAAAAACCTTCTCTTGGTTATGTCTATGAAGCAATGACGAGAGCAAAGCATGGAATTGAGAGTTTTTGTAATAACAATCCTCATAAATATAAGCCTTACGCATACATTTTTAAAGCTTAATAGGATAAGCACTTGAAGACTAGTCCTCATACAGCAGCTTATTTTTTCAATCCTACATTCATGTATGATCCATCTTTTGATCTCAAAAGAAAGCTTACAAATGCTGTGCTTAATTTGCTTAAGGTATGTGGGATTGATGACTATGTTCAATTATGGGAGCAATTGAGTTTGTACAAAAATCATAATGATTCTTTTGCTTAGGATCACTCGAGTCAAGCAGCAAAAAGATTAGCACTTGTAATTTTTTAGTTTTATATTTTTATTACTTTTAATAACTAATTATAATTTAAAATGATAAGAAAAAATGTTGTATTTTTTTTATTGTTTTGTCGCAGATGAATGGTGGTCATATGTTGGAGGTGATATTTCACAATAGCAACAAGTTGCAATTTGTGTTCTTAGCCAAACTTCATCATTTTCAAGATGTGAGCATAATTGAAGCTTGTTTGAATGTATTCACATAAAAAGAAGAAACATATTAGATTATGAATGCTTAAATGATCTAGTTTTTACTAAGTGCAATTTGCTGTTGCATCATAGGTAGTTATATTTAAATGATCTAGTTTTAATTTATTTTTAGTTAAAAAGTAAATAATATTTAAATGTTTTCATGTTTGCTTAATAGGTCACAATTGAAGGAAAACAAACTATGATCTCCTTGATTATGTATCTATTGACAAACATGGTTTTTGGATAGCTGGAGAACAACAAGCTCCTAAGTTTAATGAAGCAGATTGTGATGTTTTGCTGCGTGAAGAGAATCTACAACTTCTTACCACTGTTAGGGATAATGAAGGTTTATACTTTTTATTTTTATTTGAGATGTTATTATTTTATAATTATTTTGAGAGAAATGATAGTTAAGAACTCAAATTGATTTCTCTTATTTATCATGGGTGATGAACATAAGAATGTTATAACTCCTCTACCTTTGTTTGATGTCATTACATTTGGAGCTCAATCTACATGTGTTGGACTTGGAGGTCAATCTACACCTGTTGGACTTGGAGCTCAATCCACTCTTCAAGCTGTTATGTTCTCAGATTTTTCATTTAGTGTAGCTTCTAATGACTTAGCAACTAAAGAACACTTGGATGAGTTTTATGGTGATTGTTGATGTTTGGATCATGATTTTGAATGTGTTCCTATGGATTAATGGTTTCTAGTTTTTACTTTGGACTTGAAAAGAATGTAATAATTATTGATTAAACTTATATGTAAGGATAATGGATTATTTTTCCTTTAATGTTGGATTGTTATATTATGGGTTAGATATTAATATTTGTGATTTTTTTTCATTTTAAATGACATTTTTATGCCTATTTAGGACTTCAATTAATAGTTCCTAAATGTACATTATTTAAATAATAATAATTTATTATTTACTGGTTCGACCACATTTTGACTTGATTTGACTATTGAACCGTGAATTCTAATAGTCGGTTTAGTTTTTAAAACCTTGTATTATAGTATGAAATATTATTCATAGAGATAACGCGCGCGCGCGCGTGCGTGCGTGACCCACTTCCTTGAGAGCATGGCTCCACGAGCAAGTGACACTTGAATTTTGATTGAATCAAATGTAAGATTAAAAGTTGAACTTTCTCAGCTAAAGAGTAAAAGCTCAAAAATAGTAATTACAACACAGCCAGATTTAACATCAAGTAAAGATTAATGATAGCCAAATTCCCAAGTTCAAATGGTACTTTATTAATTTCCAGAAGGCCTATCACGAGCCAATGAAAAAAATTATACACAATTGTTTGCAATCAAATCAATGAATTAGTGCTGTACAGTGTGGCCTTTTAAGTCCTAAATTACCACCAGTTTTCCTAAGACTCCAGTTAGTGTAGTGTCGTCAAATATTTCCTTTCACTTTTGCCTTTTTATTTTTATATTCCACCTTATCTCCATCACTAGCTTATAAATACCGCACAACCCACGCATGAATAATACCTTGTCCTCTCGTTTATATACAAAAAACCTGCAGAGAGATTTCTCCTTGGCTTCCGAACTGGCACACTTAATGATATACATGAGGAGATACATAAAACTCACTCTCATTGAAAACTGGTCTTAAATCTTCTTCACGCATGAATTCCAAAGGAAAACAAACAAGATGCCCCTTTATACACTTCAGTCTGCCAGCGTGCTCTGTCTGATCAGGGCCTATTCCCAAGTCTATGGTGGTATGACCGAGTTTCTCCTTCAAGTGAGCCATCTTTTGCCTAAGTGCAGCTCTGCAATTTATGCCAATAGGAGATCAGAGAAATCCAAGGCTGACAAGGAAAAACCAATAACATAGATGGGATAAAACTTAACACCATACCTGGAGTGTATGTGATCATTGGGTATGCAGGAAAAGACCTCATGGTATATCCTAGTATTTTCCTGTCAAACATAGGAACTAGCAGTTTATATCATAGTAGGAGCATAACAACAAAAAGGCTATTCAACATGCAATATAAAATCACAATGACCGAACCCGTGGAATATGGATCTAATTTAAAACTTGAACGAGTCTCACCTTTGCAGTTGCTGACCACAAGTCCTTATAAGTTGTATCGGCTATTGGATCACTGATTTTACCGACCTCTCCAGTATTCAGACCAAGGTGCTCAGACCATAAGGAGCAACGGAGGCTATAGGAAAATTTCCCAGCCTTCCACGATTTTCCATTCATAGATGAATCGACATATTCTTTGTCTTCAATTACAACTCCAATCTGGTTAAAATATATATAAATGAATAAGACTCAAAGAAATTTGCTTCTCAGCAGACCAACCCTTTATGGAAAGCTATTTCAAAGAATCAAAGAACTTCACTAAAATTACGTCACGTTGTAACTTTCTTACATAACCTCTGAAAATAGCAAGTTTAGTGATGCCTTAAATACGAACTATACCTCAGAGTCTCTTGAACCTAGCAAACTCCTATCATTTATATTAGAAGATCCAATTATAGCAGCACGATCATCTACAATCATCAATTTGCTGTGTACATAGACCTGCATAGATAAGGTAATTTACATCATATCATATAAATTGAAGTAAATCAATTTCAACTAGCAGTCATTTTACAATGAAATAGTCTTAATGTGCAGAGTTAAGAGAAGAGGTTAACTCAAATGGAGTTATGAAGGCAAACTTTGGAATTGAAGGGATTTCACTTGGGTAGGAGCAATATAGAAGACATGCATTTCAAATTTAATTAGATGCAAGCTATAAATGACTTGGAGGTAAAGATCGAAGAGTTAAAAATACCATAAATCACAAAATTTAAGTATTTGGGATCAATTTTACAAAATAATAATGAAATTGATAGTGATGTTATGCATACGATACTAGCAGGGTAGATGAAATGGAGGAAGGCATTAGGAGTTCTTTGTGATTGCCAAGTCCCTATGAAGCTTGAACCAAAATTTTATAGAACTGCTATAAGGCCACTAATGTTACATGGCAGTAAATGTTGGGTGTTGAAGGGGCATCGTGAGCATAAAATGGAGGTTGAAGGTGAGTATAAAATGGTGTTGTGACCTCACTTAGCAAGACAAGACCTTTGTTTTTGTTATTGTTGTTGTTGTAGTCATTGTTTATTAGTTATGGGGAAGCGAAACTCTCCAGAGCAAGGCAGCACAGATAAAGGGGAGTAGGAAGCTGCGCAGAATGTAATATGCTATAAAGTACCTGACTAGTAACCACAGGGCCACCAGCAAAAAGTCTACCATGAGAACGCAGACCGTAGAAAGAAATGTAATCTTCAGTCTTAGGACCAAGCATAGCTCTAAGGTTGGCTAATATGGAGTGTTTTTCTCTAGAGATTGTTCGATACTGCCAATGTGTTATGGCTCTCACAGTTGCCGCACCACCATCATCCAGACCGCCCTGGTAGTGGCAATTTACAACAGGAGTTATTTCAAGCCTGTCGCCTAAAGGAGTGAATACCGCGCAAAGAAGACCAGTAAAATTTACCTGGAAGCCCGCCAATAGAGGCATCACAATTATAACCCTAAAAAGTTTTTGCTCTTTGTGAGCCAGTAAAATACGCCAATATAATGCTTCCAATATACGGTTCTGTATGGTGTCATCTGATGCCAGGCCTGATATGAAAAACTGGTTCTGAAAGGAAAACAATAAAAAAGGCAAGCCGAATAAGTTTATACTTATTAAAATATAAAAGAAACAGATATTATAAGTAGGGTAAAAAAAAAAAAAATCAACTGTAACTTCATTTATTTATCACTACAGCGATAGGATGGAGAACTACAGTTCCTAACAAATCACCAACAACAAAAGAAAAGAAAACCACAAAACTCGATTACCTCAAAGTAGATAAAATATTTTGCTTTTTCAATGAGAGAACAATAAGCAGTGTGAATGCTTTCTTCAGTCTGACCTGTTCCAGCAGACCAATGGCTGACACTCCTGATTACCTGTGGATGGCGTATCCATCCAAGATGGCAGCAGATAAGTAATAATGTAAAATAATATTAAATAAATAAACAGTCCACGCACCAATGCAGTGCTCTATTGGCTACGAATTTGAATAGAATGTTCGAAGGCTCGTGGTAAGAATCAAAGACTTTAAATCTTAATGCGATATAAGCACGAAATGTAAAATTTCCATGAATCTGGTGATTCTATGATCCTATATATTGATATCAGATCCAGGAGGCATATCTAACCTGGGAACGACATTTTGTACGAGGACCAACTTCTCCATATTCCTTAGCAGTGGCGTCGCGGCAACCTTCTTCAGCTGTTTCCCACCATTCATCTGAAGCGTCCATGGGAGATTGTCTCTCCGAGTTAAAAGGATCAAATTCATTTAGAAAACCTCCCACCTGAGCATCTGAAGTTTTGTCGCGTGGATTTCGGCTTTCGCAAAAATTTGTCTGATCCATGAGATTATAATTCATATTGTTCCCAATTAACTCAAGATCTTCTCCACCAGCTTCTTGAGGCAGAAGCAATGGTATATCTTGCGGGGGGTGATTGTGACGAAGAGGAATTCTGACTTTCAACTTCTTTCTTGTCGTCATCATCTTTGCAGCCATCGATATCTGCCTCTTTGCTTCTTCCCATGTAGTGTGGGATGACCATGTGGTGGTGAGGCATAAGAAGTGGAATGGTATGTTCATTTGGAGCTTTAGTTCTCTGCGAAATGACTCGACATGTAAGAAAAGAGGAGGGAAAAGAAAATGAACAAAAGAGGAGGAAAACTAAAACATTGGGCAAAAGATATCCGGTACCTTAGCATGGTTCCAACGTTGAACAAAGTGCCGAGCAATGTCACGACAGGGAGGTCCCCAGATAGCACAATGGACATCGTGCCACGGCATGCGGGGATACTTTTCACGATCCAGTTCATCTCTCATGGTGTCTTCCCATGAATTAGGTTCAGATTCTCTGTCCAGATTATATTCCACAGAAGATATATTATAAAAAAGCTTCGACACCACCATTTCCATAAATCATGAGTTTATTGATTACATTCTCTATTCTTCAAGTAAAATTCTTTTCTTTTCTTAAAACAAGTGGAGGAACATACCTTGGGTTGTAATAGTCCTTTCCAGGCCATATGTCGGAGGGGAAATCACCCACTTTATGTTCAGTTGTGTCATAACGGCCAAAGCATAAATCTAGTCCTCCAAAATAGCAAACCTTGTAATCAACGATTACAAGTTTTTCATGATGCGACCTGAATGAAACCAAGCAGTATTAGTCTTACATTGACATTATGTCTAGTCCACCTTTTTAGTTTTTTATGAATGAAGGCCATGTTCGCACTTCATAGTATAGTTCTTACCATAAATAGACACCAGCCGATAAATGGTTGGGATACCGCAGTACTCTCACATTTTCATGAATGTTGAGAAGTCTTCTCTTACTGTACAAGCTGTTAATTTTTAGAGCTAAAGAGACCTCCTTGTACAGAAGCACGTAGATCTGCCATGGCCAAGAAAATAAGCATAAGGCAAGAAGCACATGGTTCTTTAAACTAATTTAAAGTAATAAGCCAATGTTTTAAGTATCAGACACCTCAAATCAAGAAGTCATATAAAGAACCGATTGTTTGTGGGAGAGAGAGAATGTCAAAAATGTGTACCTTAACTCCTTGTTTAGCCTTTTCTTCTAGTAATGCGTCCAGCCTAAAGGAAGAATGAGAGTGAAATGGACGTTTCAGATAAAGCTCTGGGCAAAGCCACCATCCGGTGATAAGGATCTGCATCCAGTTTCCATCTTGGGTCAGCAATAAATGTCCAGGTGTCCATTAAAACAAGCCAGGTATATATACTCTAGTTACCAATGACTAAACGGCATGTACCTCTGACTTTGCTTCCTGAATTGAGGAAGCAATTGCTTCAAATGCTGCCTTCCCATCTATAAACCACTGGGCTTGGCTTCCATCTTCAGTCAAACCTCTTATGGGAGCAAATGAACCAAAGCGATGAGGACGGCACCAACTCTCTTGAGGTCTAAGACCAGCTTCGTTAATTTTAGTAACCCAATCTTTAACTTTGGCACTGCTGCTAGTTCTCAACCTTATGCTCCGATTTCCGCTAGTTACCTTACAAATTCAATTGTTATTATTTTTGATAAACTTCAATTGTCATTATTGATTTAAGAGAAAAACAGGATTATTACAGGGACTCTTCTGTATGAAATGATAATCAATGAGAAGACGTCTGAGTTTCAAAACAAACTGGCACTAGAGAGCAACTTACCTCAAATGTGAATCTTAAGGGATTGCGATCCTTGATATGATCAGCCAAATGTACAAGGGAATCCTTATCTTCACTTGACGAAGGGAGGATATCAAAAACAATTATCTCTACCGGTTTGTCGCTGAAAGGATCATCCAGCAAGGCCAAAAAGCCAGGTTTCAGGACAGCCCACACCTAGGAACAGTCACAGACAATGTAGTCTTAGGAATAAGAGTAAGAATAAAATGTAGGCAAATTTACTTTGTATGAGAACACTACAAAGAAAATATGGCGTGTGCTCAAACCTTGGACCAGTTGTTATTACATAAACCCAGCAATTCACATGGAAAGCATGCTACATCTGAATCCCTTGAGATATTTGATAAGCGCTTCACCATTACATAGCCCTCTTTCATTTTTGATCCATAATCCTGTAAAAAGGATAACCTAGAGACCTCCAAGAACTTGCAGACCTGTAATCGAAAAACGTGTGTCAGAAAGGATTATTTTAGAACCAGAGAAGTTGCAGCGATTGTGGAAAATTAGTATTTTGCGATCAATAACAACATCAATATCATTGTTGCCTGGAGGCCATAAGGGTGAGCATAAAGGGGGTTTCTATTCTCATATTAACCACCCACTTGTATTCCAACTAACTATGAACAAATTTGTTTGTACCCGGGAAAACACCACAGACACTAGTACTAAAGTGTCATTTAAAGCTCATTTTGATTTCAGTTTCTTTAGATGCATAGCTCATGGCACCCATGACAAATAATTGGAGAACGATCAAACTGCATGCAATCTGCAAATATATCGTGAAAATCATTTAAGCAAATAAATTCATCATGAGTATTACTGCTTGGTACTTGCCTCTCGAGAATTGATAATATCCAAGTTTCCAAGGAAATGATTCAAGTAACCCTGCATTGCGACTTTTGCTTTATCTGCTACTGACTGCTGCCCTCCTAGTGATGGACGAATGATTGGTAGGGCTGCAGCGGATGGAACATATCTGATCAAGTTACAATAGTGATAAATAAATTTAGCATCTTTCGTAAAGCCCATTCAGGGGAATAATCTAAAGAATTTAAGGTATGTTGAGAGGTTTAAAAATGCATCATATTATGGCAATATAAATTGAGATACCTGTTCCTATATCTGTCTTCATTATGCAAAGGCACAGCCCCGTCGTCAGGTTCTTCAGTATCTTGCACCATTGCTGTTTGATCAACTATTCCTAAGCTTTGCAGCCATTCTTTTACCTTAAGGAGAAAGTTGAAAATAAGAAATCAGGCAGAATATCAAAGAACTAAAGCAAATGGAAGCATAAACATATATTTATACTTGATGAAGGATCTAGTTATAAAACTTGTGTGGATGCATGAGATAGGGAAACCAATAAAAGATAAAAAGAAAAAAATGGCCACAAAAATGCAAAATATACACAAACCTGCTCTTGCTTGTCATGAAATTCTTTAATTAATGCACGCTTCTTCAAAGCGAAATGTAAGTAGAGAACTTGTGAGGCTTTCTTCATTAAGCGCCATTTGAACTGTGTCGAACAATTTCAATTATTATCAATAAATTAGCCGGATATGACTTGCAAAGAAGTAGCCAGAAGTAAAGAAGATCAACGTTCCTTTAAAATGACAGAAGCCTCTGTTAGCATGAGACGTGAACATTTACAAACATATGTTCGTAGAATTTTTAAAAACAGCGAAATGTGTCTGGCCAAGTGGAATTGGCTACACGCAAGAGGCCGTTTGACCCTGCCAACAAATATATCATCTTGCGTGTAATGTAGTCGCAAAAGTAATTTCAACTGATCAGCTCATCCTCACCGATAAATTTTAGAATCCAATAATCAAATTCTGCTAAAAATGATTTGCGTAGCATAATTGAGCACAAGAAAGAAGTATCACAATCACAAACAATATTTTTGCCAATGACTTAGGCCACAAGCTTAAGCAAACAACACTTGAAATAGTCTATGCATAGTTCTCCCACCCCTTCTTCGCTTTAACTTGACGTGATGAAGAATTAGAAAGCAAAAATGAGATCCCAAAAAAATCCCCATCCATGAATTCTCTGATCAGCCCAACAAGACAAGACCCAGGAAGTACGATTTGATTAGTAGAAAAACAAAGAGGCAGATCTGAAACATGGATACGCAGGTATAGAGAGGGCGAGAGTACCTGTTTGTACTCCAACTCAATGGTATAAGACAGAAGGATTGGACTAATATCTCCGGTGTCTGGTCTGGAAACAGAAACAATGGTGGCCTTTGGCAATTCTTCAAATATCCAATAAGGATCGCCGCGTTGCCTCAACGACCGGGAAGTCGGCAGTGCTTCTGACATTGCATCGGAAGGTTCAATAAGACACTCCGTCGACGTAGCGAGCCCTCGAACAATTACGCACGCGAATCAATCAATATCACAGTGTATATGGAATGAGTTTGACGGAGTGATTGTGAACGAAGAAGCAGAGACCGCAGAGAGAGCGAGAGGACTGCGCATGTGCACAGCACTTGAGGAGATCGAAAACGTAACAAACAGAGGATGGCGCCTTTTATAGTTTTTCAGGGACTCCTTGGTTCCAGGGACTCCATCACCAGAACGGAGACTCGCTGAAACGTGTCCCAACTATATGTTACGGCATATGGGATTAAATTTTTGTCTCTTAAAAAAAAAAAAAAAACTCCATCTTGGATCCCGCGGATTATTCTCCCTCTTTGGATATGATAATTGATCGATTGAGGATATCATAATTGGACGTGGTTTTGATACGAACTGTGGATATTAAAAGAAATTAAAATGGTAGCATCTTTTATTTATTTTTATATCAGTAACATCTTCTAATTGACAATTTAATTTAATTTAAAAAGTGACGATAATGCAAATGAATCTGAACAACCAAAACGCAAGGAGCGCAATGGTGAAAAGACGAAAATGCAGGGAGTTTAGGAGTCGAAATTACACGTGGCAATTGTGTGGCCTGGTTGGATGGAGATAGGATGATGTGGAAGGAGAAGGACGAGGTGAGGAGAAATAGGACGTTGGGGAGAGTGGAATGCCAGAATTACCCTCGTGGAGAGAAAATGCAGGGGGAGGCGGGGCATATCCGAAGGAGGAGGAATCTGGGGAGAGAGAATATCCAACTCTAATATGCTGGCTGCACAGAATATGCCGTTATTGCAAATGATTGGCTCTTCCCCTGAATTTAATTCACAAGCCAAGCTCAGCTCATGCACTTTGGCTACGCATCTTCCCCTAATTGGCTGCTTTCCCATTCTTTCATTAATTAATCCAACTCCCACTTTTATTGCTTACGCTCTGCCTTCCAACCTTCCAACTTGTCTTCCGATTTGTTGCTTCACGCCAAACCATCTCTCCGGATTCATCAACTCCACGTGCTGTTCCTCAATCAACTAAACATTAAACTTGAGTGGGAATGTCGGAATGATTCCCTGACTAGCGTGAAAACTTTAAGACTGCTATTTATTGGACTTAACAAGTAATACCAACCACCATATAGTCGTATCCAAGAGAAATAAAATTACAGCTAAATTAAGGTTATTCCATAACGAAATTGAAAAGAATCGATAGAAAAGCAGGCTTGCTGCCAAACAGTAAAACCAAAGGGCTATTACAAAAGTCATTCCTACATCCGACCGGCCCATCAAGGTTACACGTGCTGCTCAGAAGAAAAAAAAAAATCAAGGTTGCAATTGCAAGTCAATCCTGTGTTTTATGAGAGCTTGCATCGAACACACAAGCAGGCCACGAGAATTGGAAGGTATTAAAACCCAAATTGAATCGACCAGTCAAACCGGATTTAACTCGAATTTAGTTGACCCGATTTAACTCGGCTAGTTTGGATTAACTCGAGGTAACTCCTGCACCTGGACAGCTTAGACGGGTCACACGAATTAATGTTTACATATAACCTTATTTCTATATTTTACATACCAAACAATAATAGTGTAAGAATGTCATCTATTTTTTCTAACATATCAAACATATTTTTAAAATTTAATTTTATTTTAGTTATAATTTTTTATTTTAATTTTATCAAAAAATTTTATATTATACCATACAGCCTTAAGGATCTACCTAATGAAAAGAATGAACAAAATGGCGTGAGTTTTTAAATAAAGAGAATCACACATGGTCCTCTTCTAAAAAAAAATTAATGACAAATAAAAATTAATAATAAATTTTATTTGAAAAAAAATAAATCATATCTCCATTATAATAATAATTTATTTTTTACATTTATTTTTATTTATAATTAAATTTTTTAAAGGGGTTGGATGGGATTTTTTTTTAAAATATATTCCACGTGAATAAGAAAACATAGGCAGCTCCGGTCAACGACGCAGAGAAAAAACCAGAAAAGGAAAAAGAGTAGCAGACAGATGTGAAAGAGGAATCGAAGTGATCAAGGTTGTAATTTGTAAAAATAAATAGAGCGGCGACCCGATGTGATGAGACCGATGCAAAACCCCCTCTGCTTCGATCTGCAACACGCAACACTTATATTAATTTTCACTTTGAGAAGCGTGAAGGAATTGCTTTGACCCAGCATTCCAATTTTAAAAAAACGTGTCATCCCCCTTATTTTACTATTTTTTAATATAGACTCTTTATAAAAACATAAATATTTTAAAACCATTACTATTGTATAGTTACAATATTTAACAATTTATTAGAAATAAAAATATATTTTGTTTTTATATCTAGTCTAATATATTATACAAATACATAATTATTTTTAATGTTATATTTTATTATTATTAAAATTAAAATTATGAAGACCTTATTTTTATTTTTAAAATTTATATGAACTTCCCTTAAATCAAAATGTATGCCACACAAACCTCCCTTCTAATGTTAAAATTCTACTTCAATCATCCAACCGAGTAGTTGACGGCTAAATTTTAATGATGATATTTTATTTTAACCAAAATGGCCCTACGTGGCATTTGTATTTCTCAACAATCATTTAAACTCCTATCTTTGTGAAAAAATAATTTTAACATATATTTTCACGTTTCTGTTACATTATTAAGATGAATTATCATATTATGAGTTGAATAGTTTTCCTGTGCATAATTTTTTATTATTACAATAATTTTAAATATTTAAACTTATTTATTTATTACTCAAAGAATATATATTTTCAATTATTTTATAAGATTATTAAATGACATAATTTTGAACATGTGATATTGATATGTTAATTTTTTAAGTTAAAATCATATTATATATTTCTTTAGACTTATATTTGTTAAAAAATTACTCATAGTTTCAATCACTTTGTTTTTCCTTTGTTTAAAAACTGATTAAAGTTTGTCTATGTTTACTACAACATTAAACAGATAACTAATAAATATTAAACAAATTATTAAAAGGTAAATTAGAGGTTTAGTACGAAGATTGGTTAATTAGTAAATAAAATTTATTAAAATATAGTTTTCCATTTAAAAATAATATATTTCTAGAAATTAAAAAATATGTTTAATTTTGAGAAATGTTTATGAATAACAAATATGTTTAATTTTCATTTCAAGCTCTTTAAAAAAACCAGCATAATGTTATGTGATTATTTCATATAAATTTTGTTGGTACGTGCTTATATAAAAAAGGAGAAAAATTATTTTAAAAATTTTACACAACAATAAAAAATATCTTAAAACCCCACCAATTACACAAATCATTTTGTAGTTTTAAGGTACTCAGGTGTAATTAAATTTGTATATACATTTACTAAAATACCATTCCTTTTTTAAAAAAAGCTACCTCTCTCCACCAGCCCTCTCCTCCCCTCCCATTAGGCTTCGCCGGAAAACCACTTCTGCTCTTTTCTGCAAATCCACTCGTAATGCCCATGGGATTGCCTTTTTTGTCCTCTTCCTTATCTCCTCTCGTGTTATTGGATAAACAAAGCTGAGGCACCCCACCTTTTTCACGCTTTGCATTTGATGATGATCTTCTTCGTCTTGCTTCTAATGTAAAGTGTGCGAGTCAGTACAGAGCCAACTCGGGATGAGCAAGCTCTCCTTACCGTCATCTCTCAGACCCCACATGCGAATCAGGTCAAATGGAACGTTTCCGACTCTGACTGCAGTCTAATCGTCTCGCCGGCGGGATCCAGCTGATTTCTCCAATTTGATGTTTCTTCGTAACATTTACCTCCAGGATAACCAGCTCCGGTGAGTTTCCTATGTCTCTGGCTCAGTTGGGTGTTTGATGCACTTGGATCTCTTGTCCAACAACTTTTCAGGTCCAATTGCTTTCTCAATCAACACCCATTTGACCGGTCTATCCTTGCAAAACAATGGATTCACCGGCGACCACGGGAGTTTTGTCTAACGAGCATTGTTCATAAACTCGGACGGGTACCCTAAACCGGTGAACTGGTCACCTACAACCCGGCTTCATATGAATATTTATTTATTTAAGAATTAATGACTTGTTTAAATGTCACATTCTTTTATATGAATATTTTTGTATATTTAATAAAATTATATTATTTTAATTGTAATTGATTTGATTTGAAGTTGACCGCTAAGTCAACTAGTTCAATGATTACTCTAGTTTTCAGTATTCAAGTATCATTGTTTGAAATTCACTTTTTCTATGATGGCTCTGTTGCTCTCATCCGGAAAACTTCGCTTCTACCTGAGCAGCCCTCCTCAAGGGAGGAAGATGACCAACTGAATAGGGGTGCGAAAAAGATCAAAGGAGAATGGGAGGTGGAAATGTGAATGGCAACTCTGTTTTGGATGGGAATTGGCCTAAACTCGGAAGTAACGATGTGAAAGCTGGAGCTTCTTCGTGTAAGATGTCTTTTGCTCTTAAGTTGAAAGGTGCTCCCAACGAAGAAGAAAAGGGTATAGGTGAAAATGCATCTGATGAGTTTGAAGATTCAGATTTTGAGAGATCGAAGGAGGAGAATGGATGAAGAGGAGCCAGACTGTACGATTAAGATGTGTGGCAGTAGGAACGGGACTCATGGTGATGGGGGTAGGGTTGACAGGACAAATTGTAAATGGATGCCCCCTCTTGAGAATTGGTTTGAAGTCAATGTTGATGGAGCTGTTTGTGAAGGCTCTGGACGTGCAACAGGTGGTGGGGTTATACGCGAGGTTCTTCTGGGAAGTCGAGTTGCTGGTTTTAATCAAATTTTGGGAATCTGTCTGCCTCAGGAAGCTGAAGAATAGGCAATCCTAGGGGTCTTGAGACAGCTTGGGAGTTTAATGGTGGGGTCTGACTCAAAACTGACTATAGATTTTTTTAACTAGGCAGTACGCAGAGCGCAGTGACGCAGAGAATCGAAGACTTCAAAACTAGGAATTGGCAACGTAAGTTTCAGTTTATTCCTAGAGAAATCAGTAGAGTGGCTGATCACGTTGCCAAGAATAGTTCCAGTAAGGAGAATGAATTTAGTTTCATAGATGCTACCCCAAGCCATTTAATGGCCCTGATGGAGAGTGATTGTATGGGATGTCAGTCCCCACGTGATGTTATGTTTTTGTGATCTGTAGGGACTTGTTCCCTCGACCTTTAAATAAAAAAGAAAGAAAGTATCGTTACTTCACTTTCCCAGTAGATTTTGGTACACTAGTCCCTTCTAATTCAGACAAATGTCAGCAAATTACATGTTAACAAATATTATTGATCCTCTGCACTCTGCTTCTTCCCCCCCCCCCCCCCCAAAAAAAAAATCTAGGCCCCGCCTTCAAGCCTATTATCCAATATGCCAGTGTACTTCACTGTGCCTCGCAGGCACATTCTTGAGAAATACTTTTTATTGGGAGACCCAATTTCGACAAAGATAGTGAACCTTGGCGAGAGAAGCCATATAGTCATCAGATCTGCAGGGAAGCATGGAAACGTCATGTTTATGTGTTGCAGTCTTTACGCACCTAACAAATGTGCAGAATGCATAGTGTTCAAAACCAAACCTTTGTCCATAGGGTGACTGGCAAGCAGCAACTATGTGATGCTTAGCGCCCTCCTCATTTTTCTACAAATTAAAAAAAATTAATCAATTAATTTATATAATTTTAATTCAATTATAACTCAATTTTTAAATTTTAACTCGTTATAATTTCATCCTTATAACTCAATTTTAAAATTTTAACTTAATATAACTCAATCACTATGATTTTAACCATTCAAAAATTAATCCCTATATTTTAAAATATAAGATTAGAAAAAAATTAAATCTTTATGATATTCATCAAATTAAAAGTTTTAGTTAAAATTAATCCCTAAATGTCAACATAATGTCAATTTTTAAAATTTTATTTTTAAGATATAATAACCAATATTTTAAATGATTAAAACTATATAAACTGAATTGCAACAAATCAAAATTCAGATATTAAATTATCATTGAATCAAAATTCAATAACTGAGTTACAACCAAATTAAAATTATGAGAATCAAATGATCAATTTTTTCAATTAGAAATAATCAATTCATTCCAAAATTCACATGTCGTCTGAATCAGAAATTAAAATAAAAGTGATAAGCAAGAGCATTCCCACACCAAAAAAAGGGGCCATACTAACAAACAATTATGTAAAACTAGAATGTAGGCTTATGATTTATGTAAAACTAGAATGTAAAACTAATAAGTTGAAGATAAGCCACATTGTTTATGGTTTATGAATTATGAATAGCATAGACTACATATAAAGATCTCAATTTGATCAATTTGTGTTTTTTTTTTTTTCCTTCGGGCCAGGAGTCTGATAAATTAGTTTATTGGGGTAGAAATGAGTACTCTATGAACGGGCTCCATAAAAGGAAACAACCGCAGCGGCAGGAATTCAAGCCCAAAACTTTTAAGCGATCCGCTGCCATTCAAGAAAACAAGCACCTTCTACAAATGGTTACGCAGTGATTCGAACAATGTACATCTAAAAGCCCTCGTCTCATTCAGAGAAGATGCTGTTTTTCAAAATTGTCATTCAGGCGAGGGAATAATGTTCTAATTGACACGGTCGAGTCGGTGTTAAAAACACCTTGTCAACAAAGGAAAAGACAACACGAAGATTGAGAGATGACGTAAAGTCGCAACATCAATAATGATATCTATCAGTATATCATAATATAAATCTCACATGTGACAGTAAATCAAGGATTGCAAATTGAGACACTTGCAAAAAAGAGGAAAATTTATCAAATCCTTGTGCAATGGCTTCTTTATTCAAACATCTGTATAATAAAAGACACATGAAAATAGAACAGAAAGAAAGATTCGAATAAAGCCTCTGAAAATGTCAAAGTAAGAATAGGATGAGTACTACTGAAACAGCATAGCTTTCTTGAGTTATGATAAAAAGAAAGAAAGAAAGAACCCAATAATAAAACCAATTATCTATCTTGGCATAAACCATAAAATCAGCACCAAGTCATAGAGAAATATCTCTATATTGACTTAAGAGTCATAGATGTACATGACGGCAACTTGGCACCATGATCTCCATCAGGCATGCCCTCTAAAAGCAGCAACAGTCCGTGAAGAGGGCCATGCTTCTTTTCTTTCTTTGTTAGTTTTTATTAGGTCATAGTTCAGAGGCATATCAGTATGGTGGGGAAAAAAAATACAGGGAAATTTAAGGAGTTGCCGGAATACCTGAGATTCGTAATAAAGCCCAGCATATAGTGAAGCATAAAAAGACTCATTTTCTCGGCCTTGGGAAAATGCAGCCACAACCTAGTCAAAAATATCAATTGCTTGTGTCAGACATTGTTCTAGAATTTCAAATAGGCATCTATACAACATAATCGCGTTAACTTATATCTATACACATACACATACACATACATACATACATACATACATATATATATATTTCTCAGCCTTCCGCACAGGGAACTGAACATTTATATGAATTGCACACTGACCTACTACAAGTCAAGATGAGCTGTGAATAATAGTACAGAGGAACAAATTGTAAATAAAGTATCCTTACTCTAAGTCTAAGACGAAACAATTTCCGAATGAATTCAAAATAACCATGCAAAACCGCGAACCAGAGAGTGCCCCCCCCCCCCCCGCGGGGCCAACCCTTGTTGTATACGAAGTAATCTTTCAAGACAGAAGCTCAACGGCAACCCTTGTTCAAGTATAGACAATAATTCAAATTCGGCTTTTTATCAGGTCAGACTAATTGCAGTGCTGTTTGAAAAAAACCTAGCTCTACCATTTAAAGGACTGAAATCTTGTAAAAAATTAACAAAGATCGCGGGGTTATATGAAGTTCAACTTTCTTGTAGATTACATGTATGTATTCCATCGTGAGTCAAAAAGCATCAAAGCAAAGCACACCTTCTCGGGATCCCCACCATCTTTAAACATATTATATGCTGCCCTCATAACAGGCCGCCGGTCGCTGCCAACCTGGATTCAATTAATTAGTAGGTAATATCTTGAACATCTATATAGTCACTTTCATGTCAAATTCCTAGTAATGGACTTATGACTTGCCTCAAGAAATCGCTTCCTTGCTTCATCCACTCCATACAGTTGAGCTTCGCACAGAAAGCACCATATGGACTCCTCTGTATCATTTGGATTTTGTGCAACATCTAACCGAAATTGCTCCGCTCCTTCTTCAAATCTATCGTATGAGGAACACAAAGTCTTAATTCGACCGGGCAGGGAGTAGTTTTATATTTCATAGAACGACATTGAGAATCAAATATTTCTCCTAAAAAGGAAATGAGATATGCATATACATACTGAAGGCTAGTATTAGGATTTAGGAAAGTCAAAAAGCCAAAGATATCGCATTAGCACCTGTCGAGATAGTATAGTGATAGTCCCCTTTGCCAAAGATCTGGTACCAACCAAGATATCCATAACCAATTCCATGTAAATTGGCACAAATATCAATATTCCAAATTCACACAAGCGTTTCCAAAATTTATAAACCTACATGCCTTTTGACGAGGGTCCAACGCAATTGCCTTGTCGAATTCCGCTAAAGACCCCGAGACATCACCCTTCACAGGTAAAAGCACCAGAAGAGTGACAGACACTGGATTGGCCAAAATCCTAGCAGGGGAAGAATGGGAAGGAAGCTGCTCTTTGATAAAAGAAAATGAAGAGTACCTGCCTAAAGAGAAGCATTCCACGTCGAATTGAAAGCACAGCTTCACGGGCATTGTTGGAGCCTCCGGTTAAAGCGTCCCAGATGCCGGAGACTGAAGGAAGGAGAAGCCTCCGGGTGAGGGTGGGAGGAGGTTTCAGGTGATGGAAAATTGCTGAAGGGATGGGACTAAGGAAGGCCGACTTGGAGGGGTTTTTCAAGGAGACTGAAGAAGCAGAAGACACTGAAGGAGGATTTGAGGAGGGAAAGATTATGGCTGTAGGTCTAAGGTTGAGAGTAATCGCCATGGATGGCTGAAAGAAGAGAAGCGAGGATGAACAATCAGAAAAATGCCACGGGGAGATAGGTAAGGCCTGTGACGTGGGAGCGGAAACGGTTCAATTCTCATAGAGGGAAAGAGAAATAGGGCACTGAAGCCCCACGTCCAGCAATGACCATCGTCTTGACATATGGAGTTTGCACTATTTGGGCTGGCCTGGTAAATATGGCCCATTTTGCATAATGAAGAAGAAGCCTGTAGTACCGTGCCACCTGGGATTGAGCATAATGAAAGGGACTGTTCCTTGTAACATAATGGAGCAATATTCAAATTTATTGAATGAGGTTTTAATACTTGATGTGTCTTGAATGAATTTGTCTTTAATAAAACAGTACTTTCAGGGGCAACCAAAAAAAAAAAGAAGAAGAGACTCATGGTGTGACAAAAAATATTACAATGATTATTGTGAAGTGATAGTAGATTGTTGTTTCATGATACATCGATTAAAAATAAAATTGAATTTAGTGTTATTAGATTTATCAGTCTTTTTATAGACTTAAATTTACCATTCTTTAATATAATTTAATTTGATTTAAATTTCAGTGATGGAAGTATCAGAAAATTCATTAGATTTGTCATTTATGGCATGCTCAAAGTTTGCCTACTATTCAAAAGATAAATTTGCTTTAAAATATTCAATGTTTTAATACGCTTTTAACTAATTTATATCCTTTAATAAATTTGTTAGTGACATTTAAAATTACATATTCTTTACATGCTTGTCATCATTTCATGGGCTGTCTTGATTGGAAAATTTTAGTAATGATGCCCCTAATTACTTATGTTATTAAAAAAAAATTCTCAATGCGAGGTTCAACGAGGATCATAATCGATACTTGAGCAGAAGAACGTAAGTCACGAAATCGAAGGGGAAAGGGCCGACTTCTAGCTCCTCCACAATTCCAAGATAGTTTATCCATAAACAATTAATAGGGGATTTAGGCACAATTGCCAACTGCCACGTCAGCCGTATCCATGTTATCATCTGAGAGGCTATTATCTTCTTTCATATCTTTAACATTTGTATGTGGATCTTCAACCACCGCCGGAGGTAAGAGTGGATTACGATCAAGGGGTTTAGTCTTAGTTGGAACATCATTTTCGATCTGGGTAAATAAGATATCAGGGTGAAGGGTTAAAGATGAATCAGAGGAGGGGGTGTAGGTGTAGAACGAGTGGAGGGTTTTTTTTAGTAAAAGCAGATTTGTTTACCTTTGGGTTTGGAATCTACAACATTTATTGAGCCATGGGACACGTGATGAGTATGTGGAATAGGCCTTCTTTTAGAATCAAAGGCCTTGGGTTGTGTTTTGTAGTGGTCTCTTGGGCCAGAAATAGGGTGGCCTATAGTAGTGTCATTTTAGGGAAGGCTGAATGGGTTCTTTTAAGCACTTGGCTTATTATTCTCTTTGCCCTGTTTGCAATCTGCCTCTTTACTTTTTCTTATGAGTGGGTTCTGCTCCACTTTTAACTAGCTTGGTAGAGTTAGTCTCAAAACCTGTTGACTGAGTAAAAATTTTGGGGGTTGCTTCTGCAAATGCATGGCCGTCATTTCCCCCCTCGTCTGCCAAATCTTTTCACATAGGCACAATAGCATCAAATCGTGTGTCTTGAGTTGATGCTAAAGGAATTTTTTGCAGTTGATCCTCTTTATGGACTAGGGGACCACCCCCCATATCGTGGAGTAGGATGAGGCTTGCCGCTTTGAGGCACAAGCATCCAGGCATTGTACGGATCATCGTCTATTTGATGTGACGTTAAGGTTGACCTTACCGGAGTAACAGCGACAGTTGCCTTCTGGATTTGAATCCCCTTGCAGAGTAGGAGAAGTGCTTTCTGAAGTTCTAAGCAGGGACAGCTTAATCGATTAGGCTGTAACAACCACGGTTAAAGCAGATTAAATCAAGGCTTTCATATTCCACTTGGAATAAATGCTTCCTCGTAACAAACTTAGGAACTAGTTTCTTGCGGAGATCTATTTCTATGCTAATACGTACAAAACGTCCTCACTCCACATCGTGAACATCTTCCTTGATTTCAGAAAGAGTCTTCACATCGACCTTAAGTGATCTGAGAATACGGTTACCCAAACGCCAGAGATAACGCTTGTTATAGTACGGACATGGGGTTTGTGACTCTGGCCCAGATAGCTAGCTTGGTTAGTTGATTGCTTAAGGGATTAAAACTCGGCGTCCATCGTTAGACAGCCAAGCAGTGCCCGGCAATAACCAAGGGTCCACCATGAAGGATATGCTTGAAGTCGTCAGTACTAAGTTTTTTGACGATACAATAGTTATTTCAGAGATCAACTATATGAATATTAGACATTCCCCAAAGCTTTGATAGTCTGGATTTCATGGACCCATAACCCAGCTTATACCCCAGTAAGGTGACAACTAATGAACCCTTCCAAGGCAGGCAGAACTCTGCCCATTCATCGTCAGTTACAGGAACTTCTGGGTTTTTTTTAAGCCATTCTTCCACAACTTCATCCGGAGCTTCGTCAAAGCTTTCTAAGACGTCTTCTTCGGAGTCCATCGGCTCTTCATCTTCAATGAAATAAGGGTCATTGGCGATGCCATTATAGCCTAGCAAAGAGTCTCGGTACGAGATAGCTTGACGCGCTGGGGTCGGCGATAGTTGGTCGGCAAGCTTTTTATCCTGGTCCATAGGACTAGTTGAAACCTGACTATTCATCGGAGCGTCTTCTTCTACTGGGGACATTGGTTTGTCCTGTTCCATAGGACTGACAGGAGCAGAAAGAGTCTCAGGGTGAATCCTCTGTACTGAACGAGAACGACATCTTCTTGTTCTCGGAGAAGACCGGTTTGAGGTAGGCTTCTGGACGGAATCCTTTTTCTTTTTCTTATTACGACCATCATGGTTGGGTTCGGAGGTAACCTCCGAGAACCACTGGATTCAGGGTTCATGGAAGGTCAAGCACGCGGAGTCTTTTCAAATTTGACATACATTGAACCTCTTGAAACACTCCCACTGGTTCGTACAAGGTCTAAAAAAAACGAGGAAAAAATGGGGTCAACAAAGAACTCGTCGGCCTGAATATTTGCGATGACCATGTAACTCGAGCATAACATTGCTGACAATTTAATTAAATAATGACTGAATCCGCGTCCTAAGAGTAAATAAAAAGGAACAGCGTCGTTTACCCAAAAAACGGAACAGTGTCAAATGAAAAATCAAATAGACAAAATGACTGACAATCTGGGATCTGCAGCAGACGCAGACGGCCCACGTGCCATTTGTTAAAACGTATGCGAGGCCAGGGGCGATGTGGCCATGACCCTAGGAATTGACATCTACCTGAACAAGTACACTCACGCGCTTGAATTTGGGGAAACATTTTGGCTAACTAAAAAAAAAAAAAAAAAAACTTGGATAAACCGACCAATATTTTTAACCCTGATTTACAGCTCGACCAGCATTAATTAATAAACAGTAATAATAGTAATAAAAATAATAAGCCGACCTGGCCTCCATTAATAATCATAATAACAATAATAGTATTCTTCCTCTTTTTTTTGTCACCTTTTAAGGAAAAATGTGTTTCAATGCTTATCTAGTATTAGCTTTTTTAATGTATGGATAATGAAAACTATAATAGCAGAGGATATTTGAAATTATTAAAATTTTAAATGATTAAAGTATAAAAATAATTTAAAATTATAAAAAAATAATTTCTTTAATCATATATATATGGTAAAAAGATAATATTTGTTTTGATTTTATTTGTAAAAAACTTTAATAGTTATTATGTTTATCATCTTATCTTTATTAAATATTAAGAAATTTGTTAAATATCAAAGTATTTTATTATAAAATAAATATTTTATTTTATTCTTTTAAAAAAATTTAATAATTATTATGTTCGGCTTTATTATCTTGTTCTCATGCTTTTAGACAACTGTCGGTATCTGATAGTAAGTAAGACACCTATGATCGGGATATCTTTGGAAGCTCGGACAGAGAGAATAAACGGACACCTCGGGGGTTACACAAGGCACCTTGTGATTTCTTACAATTTCACTCGCCTCCTTTCAATGGACCAGAATAGATCTTAGTTACGAGTCACTGGAAGTAATTTGTAAAATTCAAATGCTTAATTATACCCGCCTAAATTTAAAATCGCAATGGTTTCGCAACAATTTTTTTTAAAAAAACAAACCATTATTAAATTAATTTCTGGAAACAAAAGTGCGAGACTCTCTTAAACTCGATGCACAGATTGATTTAAATTTATTGAAGGAATGTGATTCCTGTGTTAAATTTTAATTTTTGTTTACATGTCGTATTGTACACCGTGCAAACTTTTTTACTTATTAAGAAAAATGTATTTCACATTATAAACGTATATTAGTATATAGAGGATGCAGCCTGAAAAACATGCATTTTACTGCTATATGTGAACCCACCGCAAAGCGTTGGGGAAGGATGATGGCGACGCAATTGGACCCAAGCTAGTGTGAAGGCCGAAAATATAATGACGAAATAAAGAGGGCGGGACAGGGGAGACTGCCGCCTGGGGAGCTGCTATAAATATGGTCATCGAGGATCCTTTCCCCATTTCCCTGTCCAAGATAGCAATCTAAGTTCCCTCCTTACCTTTCTTTCACGTATATCACCACCGCTGCCTCTCATGTCTAACATCGATACCTTGCCGGAGGACTGCGTCTCTTCCATTCTCTCCTTCACTTCGCCGGCCGACGCCTCCAGATTTTGCTTGGTCTCCTCCTCCCTCCGGTCCCCTGCTCTCTCCGATCTCCTCTGGCTCTCCTTCTTGCCCGACGACTACAACCACATCGTCTCCAGGGCACTCGCCCCTCTCCTCTTCTCTTCCAAAAGAGACCTCTTTCACGCTCTCTCACATCCGATTCTCATTGATGGTGGCTCCAAGGTTACTCCCTCTGCTTCTTTCCCTCAACTCCCTCCTTCTCTCTTTCTTTTCTATTAATTTTTTAATTTTGTGTTGAAGTGCTTCCAGTTAGACAAGTCTTCTGCTAAGAAATCTTACATCCTTTCTGCCACGGAGTTATCTCTCACACGGGGCAACGACCCCATGGCATGGAGCTGGATACTGATGCCTGAATCAAGGTCTCGCTCGTAAAATTCTTTTTCTCACACACACATACACACACCGTCAGCTGCAGCGTTGAACTAGTAAGTCTGAAAGAGTAAAAGATGATGTTGCAGGTTCTCGGTGGTGGCTCGTCTCAGAACATTGAGCTCGTTGGAAATTAAATGCAAAATCAGAACAGGGATTCTGACACCCAACACTTGGTACGGAGCTTATCTGATAGTGAAGGTGTTTCAAGGAGCGTACGGGTTGGACAGTGCAGCTTCGGAAGTGTTCGTTGAAGTGGGAGGCGTGGTGAAGAAGGGGGAGGCATATCTGTGCGAGAAGGACGAGAGGAAGCAGAAGACGGAGGCTCTGTTTTATGGGAACCGGAGAGAGATGTTGGAGCGGTCGTCGGCGGTGACGAAGGAAGATCGAAAATACCCGTCGAGAAGACCAGATGGGTGGACGGAGATTGAGTTAGGGGAGTTCTACAGCGGGGAAGAAGACCAAGAGGTGAAGATGAGCCTCAGGGAAGTGGGATATCAACTGAAAGCAGGGCTTGTCGTGGAAGGCATTCAGCTCAGACCAAAGCATGCTTGACCAAGACAATGTCCACGAGACCAAACGACAGATAGAATAAGCCAAACGGTGTATCCTGTATAGTATTTGTATGGGTTTTACTTTCATCCTATTTTGAATTTTCTTGTCCTGGGTCGAGCGATAACATATGGAAGAATGACCCATACATTTCAAAAAGATTAATTAATTTAAAATTTTTATTCTATTATAGTTGAAGAATAAATAAATTTTTTTTGTTAAAATTTAAAACATAAATTGTAAATTTATCCTAATAAAATTATAAAATTAAAAGTCAAACTTTTAAATTCTTAAAATTTAATTTAAATTAATTAATTTCCTTGAGATTTCTGTCATTCTCCCGTAACATATTGGTGCCTTGGTGATCGTCAATCGTAACTTCATTACATTAATGTGATGTGCACTGAAACCTGCTAGTGTAACTGTATTGTTAGGCTATTAAATCTATTCTTCGGTCTCAGAAAATGTTTTAGGCCTTTTGTTATTTTTCCTCTTAAACATTGATGTTCATTTCATTTTTTTTAAGAATGCAGTGTTTGCTTATGCCTGTATAAAATATTATTGACAATTTCAATAATAATTATTATTATTAATAAAAGAAGTTTTCTAAAAATTAAAATTATTTAAATCTTATTTAGTATCAACCATGTTACTTTAAAAAGAAAAACCAATTTACAGAATATGTTAAATGAATTTGTTATATTATATATTAAAAATAAAATGTTACAATTATTTGATTGTAATGATTTTAGGTGCAGGAATATTAGAAAAATGATTTGTAGATAAATAAATGACAACACAGACTATTTAAAAATTTTGACATGGAATCAAAAATTTCAACGCGTCGCGTGACTGGAACTTATCTTCATATGACTTCTCACACTATTCAGACAGATGGGACTCGTTGCTCTGTTTCAAGTCCCATCCTGTCCCACAGATATACATGGAAAAATAGAAATTCACCAATTCAGAAACAGGAGGATTCATTTATTCGTGGTCCTCACGCACGCAGCATCTGGTTATTCTTATTTTTTTATTTTTTGGTGAAAGCATCTGGTTATTTATAAGATTAGCATGATTGCAAATTTGCAACTTCGAAGGTAGTGTTTGCGTATGCCTGTATAAAATAGTATTGACAATTAAATGAATGCTTGGATGACCCTGCGTTGAGGAATACTCTCTCCACTAAAAAATATAATAAATTTTTTTAAAAATTAAATATTTAAAAATATAAGTTATTTTTAATTAAGTTTTTAAAATATAATTATTATCTTTTTTTTAAGTATCCCTGTTGATAATGACTTTATATTTATATTAGAATATTTAATGAAGATAAATATAAAAATATAGAGTTAATTTAAAAATAAATAATTACTTTCTTAAGAAATGAGTTCAGTTAAAAATACCTTATATTTTTTAATGGAGTAAATAATGAGAATCAACAGTAATATAACTTTGCTCTAATCCTAGTTATTTTAGTGGCAATATTACTTTTTTTTTATGGTGAGGTTAGCATTGACATAATGACGCGAGTTATATGTGTGGACGTGTGCATCTCTTTTGGCCGTGTAAAAAGGTTAAGACTTAAGAATACAATTTTAAAAAATATATAATATAAATCTTATTTTAAAAGAATAAAAAATTCAATAAATTTATAAAAAAATTAGAATACTTAACACCCCACTATTTTATATTTTAAAATATAAAATCTTATTTAAAAGTATCTTTTGAAATAAAGGTAATAACTTACTCCATATACCATCTCAGCTTCACTTAGGAAAATTTTTTGGTTGATGTTGTCCTATCCCATATTAGAATTACTGTTAATTCAAAAAAAAATAATTACTGTTAATCATTCCTTAATTAGATCCCTTTCCAATCTCACAACTTTGGTGTAATGTGTTAATTTCTCTCATGCTTTTATGGCGGCTTTGTACAGATTCTCTTTGAGTTAATGAAATTCCCGCTTACTCAAAAAAAAAAAAAAAAACTTACTCCATAGTACAAATTAAGCTAACATTTTTTCTTAAAATTACACATATTGTGCACCGGGGAAGCATCGCTTAAAGTTCGATTGTCACTGCACATGATCCAGCAATACGCTCTAATTGGTGGGTCATTCAGGGTCCTTAATGATGAGTTTTATATTAATGTACCCAAGCTTTTGTATATGCAACTCGTCGTAGTTATCGTGGAAGTCACGATTCAACAATGATCTACAGTTGTTAAAATGTAAATCTTATGAGAAATAGATAAAAAAATTCTAAATGACTGCAATTTAATTTAAAATAAATGTACAAATTTGGCCCTCAATTATTTTTCACAGCATTGGGTAACTTATGTTATAAAATGATGTTAAATAAATTATTAACTTTAAAAAACGGAACATCTGGTGGCCTCCATTATTTTTGTCTATTTTATTGACATTATTATCATGAATGTTATTAAATAAAAATTTTTTGAAACTTCTTCTTCTCAAGTTGAAACTAAAAACAAAAGCAAAAAAATTAAAGAAATTGACACATTGTAAGACTTATAAATATAAAAATAAATTACGTTTGATTAAAATTGATAGAAAAATACTGAATAGTCCTTTTTTTATTATAGAGGTTATTTAGTGTCCCTTGAAAAGAATAACAGTACATTCCTACAATCATAGTCATTCTCTAATTTAACTAGCTAATTATTTTAAGATAATCTCTATTAAATGCTATCAGTTTATCAAAAGCTCTCTGTTCCAGTGCCATAATACTAGTCATTTCCGTTTTTGGTGAACGCGAAAATGATGCTGCAATTTAGCTAGAAAATATATACGGAGGTTGAAGTTTCCTTAAAACACTGCTTAGGCATTTGTTATTTTTGAATCTAAAGCATTTTAAGAAATTCGGGGTCATAATCTAAATGAAGCTAGATAGGAAGTGCAAGCGCATCCTAACCACATTAATATTGGGAATTGGGAAAATGGAAGAACCGAAGATATGGCATCAGTACCCATCGAGATAGCGTACTACAGCGGCAACCCTTTGCCGGAGTTTGGTGTGCAAAACCAATTCCATGAAAAATAGGCTCAAAAATCAAGATTCCAAATTCATAAACCCACACGCTTTTTGACACGGGAATTGGGGAGGGGGATCTCTCATGGTCTCTCCTTCTTGCGGATTAATATTGCTGAAACAGATGTGGGATTCGCCAAGATTTCATTTGTAAGAGGAAGAAGTGGAATGAAGCTGCTCTCTGGTAAAGAAAATGAACAGAAGCACTCCGCGGGGAATTCAAAGCTCGGTTTCACGGCCATCGTTGCAGCCTCCAGTTAACTCGATATGTTTTGTTTGTTTTTAAAGAAAATGTCAATCAAGGATAACTGGACCATATTTATATCAATCAATAATTAATAAATTTTAAAATTTCATTGCAGTTCATCTGTCCCTGACCGACATTGATTTTTTCATGCATGATGATCAAATTATTTCTAAAACATACTTAAAAAAGTCATCTCAGTGTCGTCAGCGCCGGTCATTGGGGTGGGTTTCGATGCTGGTAACACTTTTTTATTGAATTGGTAAAGGTGAATGAGGAAGTTTGATCTCACAACTTTGGCCATTAAAAAAAAATTGATGGCTATCAAGACACCAAACTTATTTAATTATATATGATAATATATATATATCAATTCAAGGTTTTAAAGTACTTCTATATTATAACATAACAGTACATTATTAATTTTAAAACGGTACTTATTATTTTATTAATATTATTTATTAATTTAATATGATTAATTATAAATTCAGAGTTTTAAAATTTTACACATTTTACTTGTTAAAATCTAAATGTATTATTGTTAATAATGAAATAGTTATTGTTAAAATGTGAATGAATACTTATTGATAAATGACTAATACTTATATAACTAAGTCTATTATATTAGCTTTTTGTCAAAACTTAAATGGATTGTTGTTAATTTTAAAAGAGTTGTTGTTAAAATTTAAATAGATACTTATTGATGGAGGGTTAATACTTCTATAATTAAGCCAATCTTATCCCTTTTTTAAAATTGCAAAAGCTCCAATTACTTGCTATTGATATTTTCCCTTGTTTTTAACTTTTACTTTCTCTCTTTCTGTATATAAGATAAAAAAAATTATATCACACAATTTAAAAAAATTAATTAACTATAATAATTATGTAAAAAAAATAAAAGAATTGAACTAAAATGCTTTATGTTAATCAACATAAACATTCATTAATTATTTTTTATTAATATAAATTATGAGAGATAATTTAAAAAATATAAAATAAATGTTTATTGAAATATATAATTTTATTTATATAAAAAAATAAATAAAAAGTAATAGTTTTTTTTTTTTTACAAAACGGAATTGTATATGATAATTTGTCAAATCATACTCGATGCATTTTAAAAAAAAGGAAATCTTGATTCGGATTTTGAGTTCCAGTAAAAGCATCAGTATCAGTATAATTTTTTTAATTCTGCGGCGAACATGAGACGAGAAATTTGAAATATCCAAATTTTAAATTGGAAAAATGTATGAAACTCTGGGAGAGGCCGCCTGCCATTTGGTAAACATAGGCGGTGCCAAGTGGGGTTCCTCCATTTTCAAATAGCGATAATTTATTTTATTTTAATCATAAATTTAATGAATGATTATGATGGATAAAAAAAAAAAAAGGAGATAAAGTGAGTGGAGAGGCCCTCTCCCAACCGTGACTCGAGCACATTACCAGGTGTGATCACGCCAATTGGATTGAAATCTTGGTAAAGATCAACATGTCCATGGCCACGTGCTATTTGGCAAACACAGCCTTGCACACGCTTTTCTTTTTCTTTTTCTGTTTTCTTTTTGGTTTTGAATTTGGAGGCAATTTGACTTTCCATTTATATTAAAAAAACTATTTATCACAAAACTACACTTTTAACAATATTTATCTAGGTACTATAAATTAAAATTTAGTTTGATGAACACCAAGTTTCAAAATTTTTCTTGTTAGAAATATGCACAGAACTTTTATTTGATTTTTTTAAAAAAAATCAAATATTTATCCCATCTTCTCTATCTTCAATCAAAATTTTTTTGTCAGACATTTATCAAGCCCATTTTATTTAATTTAAAAAAATTAAATATTCATATCATCCTCTCTCTCCTCAATTAAGTTCTAATCAATTATTTGAGCAA